AGTGTGGGTGAAGGTGTAGGCGTGGGTGTGGATGCCAGTGTGGGTGAGGGTGTAGGTGTAGATGTGGGCGTGGGTGTGGGTGTGAATGTTAGTGTGGGTGAGCGTGTAGGTGTGGATGTCAGTATGGGTGTGATTACCGGTTTGGGTAAGGGTTCGGATGTGGGTGCGGGTATTCTATTTTTTCAACACCCACACTAATACCGTGGCGAGCAAGTGTCCTAGCGAGCAAGTGTCCGACGAGCATGTGTCCATACGAGTAACTATCCACACGAGCAAATGTCCTAGTGAGCAACTACCCTAGCGAGCAACTGTCCGGTGAGCAAATGTCCGCGCGCAACTGTCCCACGAGCAACTGTCCTGCGAGCAACTGTCCTAAACCCGCGAGTGACCTATAACTTTTTTTCTCTTTTCTTATTATTCAGTTCAATCAACTGACAATGTTGATATAAACCATTGATACATAGTTTTATAAATTAATTATTCTGGTTCTCCTTTAGTTAATTTCATGTAATAATGCATCATCCTGTAGATTTACTACAAAATATAGATTCAAATGGAGTACAACAACAACTACAAATAGAATCCTGGGGTTCTGATAGTATTCGAATACGTCTTAGTCCAAATATAATTATCCAAACTCCAGATTATCAAGCATTACTTCCAGAGAAACTACTCCTAAATAAAGAAGATTCTCAACAATTAAATAGAAATACGTTTATTACTGATAATTTGCGAACATTTTTCTAACAATGAAAAAAAAACACCCTCGCTTTATTTTCTAACACGTATCACTTTCGATTTATTTTCTAACAAAGAAAATTATCTCGATTTATTCCTTATTTTTTGTATAAATACCTTTATTTTTCGTCATTCATGTATAAAATTATAAAGCTGACTAACATGTCTGATGAAAATCAAACAACAAAACCAGTTATCACCTCAAAATTGTCCAGATCTTCGTCAAATTCTTCAAAAACAAATTCAAAACCTGTAACTAATAATAAATTGTTTGTTACAGGATTGTTGTATATAGACGAAACAGTTCTGAGAGAACATTTTGCACAATTTGGTTCCATTGAGGATATTGTAATTATAAAAGATTGAACAGGTTAGTTTAGATTAATAAATAAATTTATGATAAAAGTGTTTTCTTAGGACGATCAAGAAAATTTGCCTTTCTGAGTTTTGATAACTATTGATCTGCGCACAAGTGTCTTAAAGAAAAACATACTATTAATGGTAAACAAGTAAATACATGGTATTCATATAATATATAGGTGTCCTATAATATTTGAATACCCCGTGTAAAAGAAGCTATACCAAAAGAGGAAATAAATCGCCAGCACTGTGATAAATCAGTTGGGCATACACGAAATGAAAGCAATCGAAATGATCCTGATCTACCTGGTTCTAGTGAAAATAAACGTTCAATCAACATTATCATCAATATGTAATCTATTTCTCTACTCTAAATCTTTTTTTCGCAAAATAAATATATTCTTTAATAATTTAGCATTTCTCTTCTTTGGTATATGTATGTTTTAAAATATAAGATTAGATTTAAATTCAATTAAATAACAATATGAATTTGCTTAAATATTTAAATTTAATAAATAGAATAAAATAAGGATAAAATAGATAAATAAATAGATTAAAAATTAAAGATTCAATTCAATTAAATTACACATAAGAGTAAAGGTAAAAAATTAAAATGAGATAAAATAATAAAAACATATAAGGTAAAATGAATAAATATATAAATAGATGCAATAAATAAAATATAAATTATAAATAAAACTAATAATAATAAAATAAAAATAATAATAAGATAAAAACAAGTAACGCTCGTCGAGTAGACTCGCTTAGCTCTCTTTCGTATCACCCTCCTTTCAGTCGAAGGAATAAGAAGACAAAAGAAATCAAAGAAAATTACAGGAAAAGTCGGCATAAATTCCATCCAATGACAAAAGTAGAAATTTTTTCGTTAAATGAAAGACTAGTTTGTTCTTTTGTAATACTATGTGTGAGTCGATGCGACTGATTTTTAATCCTCAAATCTACTAAGTTGATACATATATTTGACTTCATTTTTATTAAGAGACATGAAGTAAAATGGACATTTTTACTGCCTTTCATATTTCATCTCACACAATAAAACTGAATATCTCAAGCAAGGCTTACTATCAGTATCGATGTTTCAATCATCTAGCATCTAAACCTTTCTGTATTGTTGCCAAATATTTTGATATTATCCTTTTCTTGTTTGTGTTTAGTATTTGTAATTTTATATCCTATATTATTTTCAGTGATGATCATATTTTTCAAAATTCTGTCTTTCGAGAATGTATTACGAAAACAATTTAAGTTTTAGCAAACAATAAAATGATATAGATCGCTTGGAATCCATATATTCTGTTGTAGAAAAATCTTGCAAGATACAAATCAATATTCTTATGTATAGGATTAGGTAAAGTTTGGTGTTTATTATTGTAAGGAAAAGAAACAACAACAACAATACATTTCGCTAGTGTGCAATTTAGTCAAATAAAAGCAAATGTTTTTGATAAGAATATAAGTATGATCAGTTCAAATAAGAGTGATATTAGCGATTTCAGTGTGATTACAGCAATCATAATTTGTTAACCAAAAGCTAATCGTATATGTACCACCGGCAATTGTAGAAAATGTTTGACTTATCGTATCGCCCCAGCCATTACCGCCCATATAACTGGCACAAGGATCATAATAATACCAACTACCTGATTTAGCATAACTGCTACCCGAAGTAGCCTGTCCATAGTTGGTGCCGCAGTTGCCTGTATAATTCCATCCAGTGAGACTGCCTGCTTCAAATCCTCCATTAATTATCCTCTATGTGGTACCATAGTAAACACTAACATCATCAAGCATCCAAGCACCAGGATCGTGACGAAAAAAGAAAGATAGTGTTGCTGATAATGCTGTAGCCGTCCATGTATATGCATAACAAGTATAATTTGGATAAATGGATGACGTTGGATTCATAAGATATAAGAGTGTTCCATTTGAAACTGATTGAGGAGGACACGGTGGAGCAACTATGAATGAAATAATTAGAAAATTAATCATATAAAAAGAATTTTAGTGAAAGTATCTTGAGGGTGTATCAACGAATTATGTTATTACTGACTTACAACAATCCAGACAACATCGAATAACTGATCAGTCGTACTTAACCATCTAACTATTTTATTTCATATGAAAAAATACTATGATAAACATACATAGTGTTTACTCAACAAAATCTATCAATTCATTTCGCTATCGCTACATTTTTATACCAACTAAAATTGATTCAAATTCAGTTAAAACTCTTCAATAACTAACAAACGTATCAGACTATTCGTTTTACATGAGATCAACTGGATGTTTGAAATCACTTTCCTACGAAAGTTATTTGGCAGATTTTATCAAATAGTATTTCGATACTCTTTTAGATGAATTATATGTAGAAAATATATGCGACTCAGTGATCTTACGAATGATAGCATACCTGTTGCCATTGCTGTTGTTGTTGATGTTGTTTTTGTTGTTGTTGATGTTGATGAGGTTGTTTTTGTTGTTGTTGTTGATGTTGATGATGATGATGATGTTGTTGACGATGATGTTGTTGATGTTGTTGATGATGACGATGTTGATGATGATGATGTTGTTGATGTTGTTGATGATGACGATGTTGATGATGTTGTTGACGATGATGTTGTCGATGTTGTTGATGATGATGATGTTGTTTTTGTTGTTGTTGTTGTTGACGATGACGATGTTGATGATGATGATGATGTTGTTGATGTTGTTTTGGTAATGGTAGTGGTTACCGTGGAGCTTGATGTTAATGGCGAACTAGCATTGCCTAGAACAATATAATAACAAAAATCTAACAGGTGCATTTTCTATTTTTTTAATTGCATAAACCTGTAAGCAAATGTGTAGATCTTTATAACTCAATGATTTATATGAAATGACTTAAAATCAAATTCTCACATTATTTGTCATCTCATCAAGTGAGATCTAATTGCAAGGAAAACTAATACGGAAGTTTGTCTTCATTCTAGATATTTGTCTAAACATGTCTTACCAGTACATATCGACGAGACACAAGTAATATTTAAATCAGTTCGACACCAGTTATCATTTGCACATACTTCACTGTCATATCTTTGATTGACACAAATAGATCCATTCCAGAAAGTATGAATTGGACAATGACACCAATCATTTAATGTGTCACTGACTAAAAATCGATTGTTT